GTATATCGGAGTCTAAATAGAGACAATTTACCAGCATATATAAATATATTATATTCAAATCATCTGAGTTTTGTCACGTCGTTGTCCTCTCTCAACTGTCAACACTAACGACCCCACAATGTTAGTCAATAAGTGCCTATGATTATGTTGCAAAGTATAGTCTATTGGAATTAAGCACCTTGGATTTGGCATGGCGTATGCAAAAGAACAAAATCCATGAAATAAACACATTTGTTCATTTTTTTAAAGTTACATCATATAAAATTAAATTCGAGCCTCTTCGACTACAAACTTTATAGTGCCCTACGAGGGCATAGTAGTGGTAGTACCACAGCCAATGATGCTATATCTGAGCTATACATGGGGCTATATCACTTCTAACTCTGGGCAATTGGGGAGAGGGGGTAGTGTTGGATGGGTAAGGGAATTATAAGGAGGGAGGTCGGGGAAATGGAAAAAGGGGTAGTTGGGCAGGGAAGGGAAGGGGATGGGGGTGAATGGGGATGGGAGTTGAGTAGTGTAAGAGTATGGTGGGAGGGTGAGGGGTATGGGGGTTGAGTGGAGGGTTGGTTTCGGTGTGGGGGCAGGGATGGAGGGTTGGAGCAGGTTGTGCTGGGTTTATTTGCACTCGGTAACGGGTATATGGCCATCTCACCTGCCCTTCCACAGACAGAAGAGGACATCATATACACACGTAACACAGGAATTCGCTTCTGCTTTTGGTCTTACTAGAGAGCCCGAGACACTCTCGGTAGGGAAGGCGTTAAGGTATCTCTGACTGTGAGACATTTAAACTTGTCGGTCGAGATCCGCAAGGCAACTAGATCTAGTATAAAAAAGAGGTTTGAAAAAATTTTAAAAGAAAAAGGAAAAAAAAACCCCAAAACCAAAATAAACAACAAAGCAACAAAAAAGTGTTCATGGCAAAGCTAGAGTTCCACTTCTTATCCATTGTCAACACCCTCTCGTCATTTTAGCTCCTTTATTTTCCTCAAGATCTCATATGATCATATCCTTATCGAAACTTAAGTTTAATTTGTTATAGTTTCTTTATTTGTCTTTCTACTAAGTCTGTCCCAGAAGTACATTTATCTTACAGTCAGGAAATTTTGTAAATCGGGAGAAAAAGTGCAATGAGATTAAAGGATGTTAATAGAATGCCTGTTTCTGTTGGTATGTTCAAAATGTATTTCATGTCTTTAAAATAATATTTTAAATTGTTGATTTTTACAGAACAGGGAAACTTACTTCTGGGATAGACTATCTATCTATCTATCTATCTATCTATCTATCTATCTATCTATCTATCTATCTATCTATCTATCTATCTATCTATCTATCTATCTA